TTATACAATGAACAAGGACAGACAATACAAACAGAGGTAAAGGCAGTTGTTCCCCATCTTATTTCCGGCATCTTGGAGGTTGTGCTCAACTCTGGTCACGGAGAAGGGAAGTGTTGTCTGTCCATCTTCCATTCCGAGGAGTTTTTCTCCAATTGCTATCCTTAAGGCAACCTTTAAAAAGTTCCCTCACCTATTGCGGGGGATTCCGTTCCAGGAACCCCCCATGATAAGTGAAAAACCGTGATGTAGGGATGCTATACTGTATATTAGCTTATAAAGCCCTAAACCAGTGTTTCTCAACCTGGGGGTCAGGACCCCTGTGGGGGTCGCGAGGGGGTGTCAGAGGGGTCGCCAAAGACCATCAGAAAACATAGTATTTTCTGTTGGTCATGGGGCTTCTGTGTGGAAAGTTTGGTCAAATTCTATCGTTGGTGGGGTTCAGAATGCTGGGTGAACTATAAATCCCAAAAATTACAACTCCCAAATGGCAAAGTCTATTTTCTCCAAACTCTACCAGTATTCACATTTGGGCATATTGAGTATTTTCCCAAGTTTGAGTCCACAGTGTTCTCTGGATGTAGGTGAACTGCAACTTCAAAAACTCAAGGTCAATGTCCACCAGACCTTCACAGTATTTTCTCTTGCTCATGGGAATTCTATGTGCCAAGTTTGATTCAATTCCATCATTATTGGAGTTCAGAAGGCTCTTTGATTTTAGGTGAACTATAAATCCCAGCAACTCCAGCCTTACCAAATGACAAAATCAATCACCTCCAACCTCACCAGTAATCAAATTTGGGCGTATTGGATATTTGTGCCAAATTTGGTCCAGTGATTGAAAATAAATCCTGCATATCAGATATTTACATTACGATTCATAACAGTAGCAAAGTTACAGTTGTGAAGTAGCAATGAAAATAATGTTATGGTTGGGGGTCACCACAACATGAGGACCTGTACTAAGGGGTCGCGGCATTAGGAAGGTTGAGAACCACTGCCCTAAACGGTTCTGGCCCAATTTACCTGTCCGAATGCATCTCCCCTTATGAACCATCTAGGACTTTAAGATCATCCGGGGAGGCCCTGCTCTCAATCCCTCCTTCATCACAAGTACGTTTGGCGGGGACGAGAGACAGGATCTTCTCTGTGGTGGCCCCTCGACTATGGAACACCCTCCCTAAGGAGATTAGACTGGCCCCCTCATTCTTAACGTTTCGGAGACAAGTTATATGAGCAAGTGTTTACAAATGCAGAGTAACTGACATAGGAAATGGAATCACTTGGCCATGGAATTTGGAGAACATTTTTAATTAGGAGACGCTGATGATAATGATGTTGGTTTTTATTGTTTCTGTAGTGGTTTTATAATGTCTTAATGCTTAATCTGTATTTTGCTATTATGTGTACTGACTTGTTGTAAACCGCCTTGAGTCGCTGATAGGCTGAGAAAGGTAGTTTACAAGTATAGTAAATAAATAAATAAATAAATAAAGCTCTGCCCACTCCTCTCTCCTCCTCCTCTCTCTCTCTTTCTTCCTCTCATCTTTCCCCTTCCCTTCTTCCCTCCCCCCTCCCCTTGCTGGAGCCACCCAAATTCAAATTCAAATAATTTATTTCGGTCATTGACCAGCACAGGAAATAGAGTCACATTTTCATACAAACTTGGTATGTTTGGTACATTAAAAATATAAATATAACTACTGAAGCACAATTTGGATGAGGAGCCACCCTTCTCCCTCCCTCCCTGCTTCCCACTGGCATGGGGCTCTCAAGTCTGTTATATACAGTGTTCCCTCGCTACTTGTATTTTCAATTAATTTTTTTGAAAAGCCGCGAAACAGCGAGTCCGCAGTTAGTGAACCGTGAAGTGGCGAGGGAACATTGTATTACCTTCCTGCTGAAAGCAGTACCTATTTTATCTATGTGCATTTCTGCTTTCTTACCTGCTAGGTGGGCAGGTGAGCTGGGGCTAACAGCGGGTGCTCACCCCAACCTGAGCTCGAACTGCCAACCAGGATTTTTCTGGAGCACAGCGGTTTAGCCTGCTGTGCTAAACCATTCTCCAAAAGATGAACGCTTATGAAAAGTCCTCCTTTCCAAGTTCTGTTTAAAACAGTGGAAAGCCAACATGCTATGCATAGTGTCTACTACCTTGTTCATTCTAATGTGTTAGTTCAGGAGTCCTCAAACTAAGGCCCGGGGGCTGGATACGGCCCTCCAAGGTCATTTACCCGGCCCTTGCTAAGGGTGAACCGAAGTCTGCAATGACTTGAAAGCACACAACAACAACAACAACAATAACAACAACAATAATCCCATCTCATCAGCCAAAAGCAGACCCACACTTCTCACTGAAATACTAATAAGTTTATATTTGTTAAAACTGTTCTTCATTTTAATTATTGTTTTTAAGTGCCCTTTGCACTACAAATAAGATATGTGCATTGTGCATAGGAATTCATTCATTTTTTTTTCAAATTATGTTCCAGCCCTCCAACAGTTTGAGGGACTTTGACCTGGCCCTCTGTTTAAAAAGTTTGAGGGCCCCTGTGTTAGTTCATCCCCAAACTCAAGCGCTCTTAGACTACAGCACTCATCATCCTTTACCATTGGCAGTGTTGGCTTGAGGGGAGTTGAAATAGATCAACACCTGGAAAGCCACAAATTTCAACCGATATGCAAACAAATGTGTGCTAATTAGTGTCATATTTAGACTAAATTGTTATATATGTTGAGATAAGATGTGTTCATTTGAAGGGTTTTGGGGAGGGGGTTCTGCGAATCAAGAGAGAGCCTCGAAATTAAAGAAAACTAATCAGCTTGCAAATTCTCTAAGTGCTTTTTTTTTGAAAGGTTGAAAGTCTTCATTCTCCCTGAACTATTTAAAATCAAATGTTTCTATATCGAGTCACAAAGTTTTTTTAAAGGATATGTATTTATATATCTGGTCTTAAGCATTTGATTGCACCAAGATAGCTGATCCATCTGCAGGCTTTGTTACACGAATGTGTCGAAATCCAGGCATGAATAAGATGTGCAAGGGAAGTGTTTTCTCAACAGCTGGAGTTGAAGATTTGTAGTCACACAAAAGTTCCTGAGAAAAACTTACCCAAAACACGACTTAATTTCTTCTGACATTGACTTTCTAAGTTTGGTTACCCAAAATGCTGCTGTTTTCATGGTTGCATTCTTTATCATCGGTACTGGAGTTGAACTCATTTAGAAGAGGGATATATAACAATTTAAAATCCCATTGAATTTGGAAAAAAAATGATTATCTCTTTAATTTTTAAAAAAATATGATTTCACCCACAAAGAGAAAGATATCTCCATGTCTGACCCAATTTGCATTGGCCAAATTGGAATGGTATGGATTTACGGCATCAGATTTCTGACAGTGGAAAAGCAACTGGCTCCTTAAGAAGGGGGTGAATTTTGAAGTGTGTTTTTGGTTCAAAAATGTGGTTGTATTTCAGTGTTCACAGACCCAAAATTAGTAAGAACATTATTATTATTATTATTATTATTATTAAACTTTATTTGTACCCCGCTAGCATCTCCCGAAGGACTCAACACACAATATAACAATACAAAACCTAAGGCAAATTAAAAACAATTAAAGCAATATTATAAACAACAAGCAATAAACAATACACTAAGACACAATAAAACTGGGCCGGGCCAGAGTAATGGGTACAAGATTAAAAGTGCTGATGTGACAGGAGGTGACAGTAATTAATAAGAACATCAGCCCTGGCCTTGTCTTACTCAACTGCCGAGTATGTCTGCCTTGTTTGGCATAAGTCTGCCCATGCAAAGCAGGTGAACATAGCATTGAATGAAACATGCAGAATAATCACAGGATGTCTTAAACATACACCTGTTGATAAACTCTACAAGCTAGCTGGCATTGCCCCCCCCCCCCCGATGTGCAATGGAAAGTTGTTGCTAAATGTGAGAAAAATAAGGTTGAACACTGTGAAAGCCACCCACTGCATGGCTACCAGCCTCTTCCCAGTAGACACAAATCAAGGAAAAGCTTTATGAGAACTACCTCTCCTCTTGGCGTACCTCCAGCAACAGCAAGGGCATTCCTCTGGGCAGCTAGACCAGGAAATCCCAATTTGGATGCCCCCCCCCACGCGAGAGGGTCTTCCTCCAGGGGCAAACCAAGAATGGGCAACTTGGAAGTCCCTGAACAGACTCAGAAGTGGAGTGGGTAGATCAAAAGACAACCCAGCAAAATGGCACGACCTAGAAGAATCTCCCACCTTGTGTGACTGTGGAGCAGAACAGACAACTCTGCATCTATATGCATGTCCACTATGCCCTGCCTCATGTACAGAAGAAGAATTGTTGGAGGCTACACGCAGTGCCATTGCTGTTGCCCGTTTTTGGTCAAAAGATTTTAGCCGCCTGCGCTCCATCTATTTTTATCGGTTTTATGCGATGCTTTTGATACGAAATAAAAATAAATAAGTATTCACAGTCTTTTTTTATTACTCTGCAGTTTTTGATAGAAAAGTACATACAAAAATGCATATAGGCGGAAAACGCACACTGGTATTAAGAAAAATAACATTCACATATGTATTCTGATTTTTCGGTCCTGGCCTTAATGGCATTTGTTCTGGCTTGCTCCTGAGCTGCAAGAATCAGGCCTTCTGTCTCCTTCTTCAGGGTTCCATTCTTAAGCCATAACCAGGTCTTCTCCCTGTCAACTTTTCTATCAATTTTGTCAAGGAACTGCCCATGCAATGCTTTGTTGTGCCAGCTGTCACCTCTTTTTTTTTTTTTTTTTTTTTTTTTGAGTGATGGCCTGATAGGCGTTGGCCTGATAGGCATATTGTGTCCAAATTTGGTGTCAATTCGCTCAGTGGTTTTTGAGTTATGTTAATCCCACAAATGAACATTACATTTTTATTTATATAGATTATTATTTTGTGGATTGCTAAAAAATATATAATTTTTTCTCCCTCTCTTTCTCTCCCTCTCCACAGTTTCCGTATTTGTTATCCAGTTATCTGAAGAACTCAGATTTATCTGCGGAAGGTAAGTGAGGCCCGTCATCAAAAACATTAAGGCAACCCACTGTGGCCAGTATTCTTAGCATTTTTCTGTTTGACAACATCAACTTAATAAAATATATTTCTACTGTGGTGATTTGCTAACAGTCAGAGGCATCCCAAAAAAACATTATGCCAGTGAGATTTAAGAGAGTCTCAACTACAACTGACAAGTTACTTATGAAGCTGCAAAACACTCAGGTAAAAATGAATTGGGCATCATTTTAGCTCAGTATCCTCTTGGGCAAAGAAGTGATACCTTTATTCAGCCTAAGGCCAAATTCAGTTTTAATGGTCTTAGAGGCAAAAGGAGGGGAATTTAAAATGCAATTATGTTTTACCTGAAGGTTCTTGTTGCCACTTAGTCAACCTTAGGGAAAATATTGGATTCAGATTGGATGGGGGTAACATCTGCAAAGGCATTGGGAATACAATCACACAGGGAACCCCGAAGTGTCAGGTGGGGATCCTTACAGAAAACTTTCTCATAAATGCATTGCCTTATACCATAAATGCTATTGCTACTTATCTATCACTGAGGTTATAATTGTTATTGAAAAAGATTTTCATATATACAAAAATGTATTTCAAATGTAGGCAGCAACTAGAATCCAGACACAAGTGAGGATGGAGTGGATAAGAGATATGCATTTAAGTATTATTTGTTTATATTTTTATTTCTTTGTTTTATATCTTGCTTTTCTCTCAAATGGAATTCAAAGCAGCTTACAGCATAAGTGCAAACAGAGCCATTAAAACAGTATAAAGTGCAAACATTTTTTTAAAGAAATCATTAAATAGTATATTCACGTAACTTACTTACGTTGTTTGAGTATGATGACCTTCCAAGTGTAGTGTCTTGGTAGGTGACTGTGGAGCCCTATTCCTGACCCACATGTTCTTCCATAATGAGGACATCGGTTTCCAGGTGGAAGGCAGTCCTGGTCAGCGTTGGCTTGACGCGTCTTCCTCTTGCCACGTTTCTCCCTTTCACTCTCTATCTGTGCCTCTTCTAATTCCACAGCACTGCTGGTCACAGCTGACCTCCAGTTAGAGCACTCAAGGGTCAAGGCTTCCCAGTTCTCAGTGTCTATGCAACAGTTTTTAAGGTTAGGTTTAAGCCCATCTTTAAATCTCTTTTCCAGTCCACCAATATTCTATTTTCCTTTCTTGAGTTGGGAGTATTGTAACTGCTTTAGGAGACAGTGATCAGGCATTCAGACAAAATGGCCAGTCCAGCAGAGTTGATGACATAGGAGCATCGCTTCAATGCTGGTGGTCTTTGCTTCTTCCAGCACACTGACATTTGTCCAACTGTCTTCCCGAGAAATTTGCAGGATTTTTTGGAGGCAATGCTGATGGAATCGTTCCAGAAGTTGAGTGTGATGTCTGTAGACAGACCACATTTCACATGTGTATAACAGGATTGGGAAAGCAATAGTTTTATAAACAAGCACCTTGGTATCCCTACGGATGTCCCGATCCTTAAACACTCTCTGCTTCATTCAGGAAAAATGCTGCACTTGCAGAGCTCAGGCGGTGTAGTATTTCAGTGTCAATGTTGACTTTTGTGGAGAGGTGGCTGCCAAGGTAGCAAAAATGGTCAACATTTTGTAATGTTACACCATTAAGTTGTATTTCTGACATTCCAGAGGGATTGGCTGGTGACTGCTGGAACTTCAAGTAAACACTGTTTCTAAAATACTGAAAAAATATTTTATTTATTCATTCATTCATTCATTTTATTAAGAATATTGGACTACTATTTTGATTGAATTTTGCAAACATTTTTTTTGTGGTGACCACATTGGATCCCGTATAGAACAAAAGGTGCCACATAAATCAAAGCATATAAACATCGTGTAAGTGTGTAAGTTCATATGTCTTGTACGTATGCTTGAAGCTGAATTTTGAAGTGCATTTTTGGCTCAACAATGTGGTTATATTTCAGTGTTCACAGTAATTTTTTTTTCAAATTTGCTCTGGGTCTTTGGAAAGTTTTCTTTTGTGTGAGGGTAGGTCAAAAAGTTTTGCCTCCTGTATCATAAAAATGTTATGAATGAACATATGACATCAGAAGTTGCTACAGACCATAGCCTGAATTGTCCTCTATGCAAAACTACCATAATCATTGTCAATTTGCACAAATGTACACCATTGTTTAACCCAAGCATCAAAACCATTTTGGAAATATCAGGGTTCTGCTTTGTGACCCAGGACTTTAAGGCTGTTTTAATATCATTCAAGCCACGTAGGTTGTCTTTCAAAGGTCCAAACAGGTAAAAATCAGAAGGGGCCAAATCATAAGCATTCTTCAAGCAATTATAGATTCTCTTAGGTGCACAATCTTCTTTTGCCAGACAACTCTTTCGTTTAGCTTCAGATTCATGGTTCTAATCAGTCTATCAGAAAAAGAAAATACTATATAAGTAGAGTAAGTTTTCTGCTATCATATAATGCTATCATATAATGCATAGATAGTCCAGTAGCTGTGAAAGAAATAAAAATGGAGGCACTACTTTTTGACCGATCCTTGTACATGCAAGAATGCATATTGGATGGAAAATGCACACTGGCATTAAGAAAAATAATATCCACATATTTATTTATTTACTTGCTTACAGTATTTATATTCCACCGTTCTCACCCCACAGGAGATTCAGAGCAGATTACAATGTACATACATGGCAAACATTCAATGCCATAGACATACAACATATATAGACACACACACAGAGGCTATTTAACGTTCCAGCTTTTTCAAGAGGGTATTCTGGCCACCAGGGGAGCTGTTGCTCCACCATCCATTTGTGACACTGAGGAAGTACTTCCTCATTCTTTGTATACATGCTGGAGATTTTTATGGCCTCATAAATTAGCCTTCCCGCATAAGTGTTACCTAAATTTCCTACTTGACAGATGCAACTGTCTTTCGGGCTGCAAAGGTCAGCTACACAAATTGGTCAAAAGCTCACTCCAACCCGGACTGGCTTTGAACTCATGACCTTTTTGTCAGTAGTGATCTTAATGCAGCTGACTCCCAGCCAGTTGCGCCACAGTCCCGTAATCTGTTTTGGAACCTATGTTGCTAAAAATGTATATTATTTAGGGGAAAGTTTTTGGGGAAAAAAGTTTATTTTGTGAGGGAATGGATAAATGACATGTGCATATTAGGATAAAGAAATATGGAAATGCACACACATTTTATGTAAATTTGGAAAGAGAAATGAAAACAGAAAAACTGATTTAAGGCTGGAAACATAAGAAACAGTGAAAGAAAAGTCAGGAAAGTGACTGACTTATTTGTGTCTTTGGGACTGAAAGGTCTAAGGAAATAAAGCAGGATGCAGCCAGTTTAATGCTCGGGTCCTTTGCAAGAGAAAGGGAGCTTTTGTCGTTGGTCTTGAGTTACTAAAAGCACAAACTGCTAAGTCTCTGAAGCTGGATCGTATGGCTACATCCTTTGAACGGGTCTGTTACCCAAAGCAGAGCACCTTTGGGAAAGACCTTTCTCGAGGCTTACTTTTTAAGAAAAGGGGGGAGGAAGAGAAGTGTATTCAACTATTCCTGTCTCATAGTAAGGTAATATTTTAATTACGGTGTTGAGTGCACTTTAATTGGTGCCCCAGCAAGGACGGCCTAATTAACCATGTTGTTCAGCTTTCAAACGGCTTCAATCAGAGCCATGTTGGAAATGTCTGGATCTCATTTTTGGAGATTATGCGGATAAAAGAAGGCCACTTTGCCTCCGTTGTCACTCAACTTAAGGGGTCATCCATAATGAGCGCCACCTGTTCGGCAAGCGTGTTATTAAAATCTCCGGTAACGGGACAACAAAGTCTGATCTGGAAAGAGTTTAGGCATCTGCGTACGTTTTCTTTAAATGATCTAAAATATCTCATTCATTTCTAAGGCTCTTCCAAAGGTTTGTGCTAAATGTAGAAGCAAATAATAATTTTGGAGATTGCTTCTTCTACTGGAAAAGAAATTTTTCTGGATGGGGTTTTTTTTCCCCAAAGAGTCAGAATCACACTTTTGACATCTATTTACTTAAGTCAGGGGTCCTCAAACTAAGGCTCGTGGGCTGAATACAGCCCTACAAGGTCATTTACCCGGCCCTCGCTAAAGGTCAACCAAAGTCTGAAACTACTTGAAAGCACACAACAACAACAACAACAACAACAACAACAATCCTATCTCATCACCCACAAGCAGGCCCACACTTCCCATTGAAATACTAATAAGTTCATATTTGTTAAAATTGTTCTTCATTTTTGTTCTGGAACAGCTGTACCAGGAGCTCCAATTTTGTTTGCTTTGCATTGAATGTTTGTTTGTAGTCCTAAGTTTCAGGGACTCTGCAGATGGGTGGCTTCTTTTGGCTGCAGTCATAGGGCAGGCCACCTGTCTGTCATCGTTAAGTTTTGGTCCTACCCCTTGCTCAGGGCAATTGGGAAGGGAAGTGGGCCATTTTGTTAGTTAGTCTCAGTCAGGTTAGCTTATGTATAGGATGTGTGTGACTTCCCCTGTACAAAAGCTTCAGCCTTTAAGAACTCCAGGGAAGCATTCCTACAGCTTTAATAATTTCCAGGAAAACAGCCTTAAAGACTAAAGAACTCKAMCTGGAGAATATCCACTGCCTTGCTGGTAGGTCCACTTGGRGTCCGAGAAGCAGTTCGGCCCYGTAGCGGAGCCCACATCAGTGAGGGTTGGATTTCAGTCAGCCTGGGAGAAGTTAAAAAGGGGAATTTTCCTTTAAAGAAAAGGTTATTGAAGATAGTGCCTGTRCCCTGTGGACAAGARTGAGGGAGCCAATGGTTTATCAAGAAAGCCTTGAAGTACCTGTTTGATTTCATTAATAAAAGACTCTGTTGTACTTCTCAAGCCATCTGAAGATTCTTTGTAGTGGAAACCTCTGAGAATTTCTCCTTGGGCCCCTGGCTTCCCACTGGGCAAAGGTTACACATCCTATTTCTAAAGTCAACC